TATTTTTAAGGGGACCTTCTTATCTTGCTTTGTTCATAGCCCTAAAAAAATTTTTTGGTTATTTAGAATCCTACAATTTTAAAATTTCAAGTCCCTTTAGCTTTTCTTACCCCCTTTTTTAACCCCCTCTTAATGCAAATACATTCATAAAAAGGACCCTCGCCTTTTTTGATACGCCAAAAATTCCTTTCTTTTTGCCCTATAGATATTTCAGCCCATTATTCATCCATTTTTGGGGGCATTTTTATTTGATCTAATTTTTCCCTTTTAAGGGGAAAAAACGTTCTTTGACCAAGTAGTGTTAGAAAAATGTCATATTTATAGCTCTCTTCGTTCCCCCCGTCAACAATGATATGTTCTCTAACCCATCGTAACTGCTAACAAAACGGGACTTTACTGAGTTATCCCACTATATACCCATTTAATTTTTTACATGAAATTTTATTTTTGGTCGCTAGCACCCAGTTTCCCTGAAACTTCTAATTATTTAAAGGGATTCATTGTTTGCCCGAACTAAGCAACAGGTTATTTCCCCCTTGGTTCTGTCACAAACTGCTTCAAAAAACAATCCTAACACTTTTAAGAAATCGTATGATTCTAAAAACCCATCAAAAAATTCCAATCAATATGACTAAAGTTAAAGTCTCCTAGAATTTCTACATTACGGGCCCTTTTGGGGCCCAAAAATTTCCTCCCCCCGAGTCTCCCCTGGTCCCCATCTAAATTTGGGGACGGAAAAACACACCCAAAATAATTTTTCATGCCCCCTAAAATTCTATCCAAACAGACTCTGTATGTTCTTTAGACTTAATACCCGTTTTTTTTGCAACATTCAAGCGACTCGGACATACAAAGCCCCCCCCCCCCTTCCCGATACTTTAAACTACTTGGGAAAAATTTAAAAACCCAATTGACTTCGCAGGCATGTCCCGACTTTTTTGAATTTAAAAACCAGTCCATAATGGGAAAACTCATTTACCTGCACTCAACTATCTCAATCTCCATCTTATTCCTAGCACTGCACTATTTTGGTAATAAATATTTAATGACCCTCCTACTCTTTTACCCTTCCTGCACCTTTCTGTTATTCCACAAAACCTATTACGTCTTTGTCAATTAGTCCCACTGGCTTTTCAATACCCTCCTCATTTTGCCTATTACTAGTTCTCCTAGACTCATTTTACTACCCGCACTTCACATTTTTGCCAAAACCCATCCCACTAACTTTTCCCTAGTTTAAAGCCCCAACAGCCCCCTCCCTGCAGGGGCCAGTCCCCCCCACCCCACCCCTGACAAGGAACCCCTCCTGGCATCATGTCATTTCTGCCTAGAAAGGTCCCGTTGTCAATGAATGAAAAGATTTCCTTACAGTATTTGTCCACCACAATTGACCCCAAAATTGCCGGGAAAACCATTCTTTTCCAACTCCTCTCCTTGGCAAAATGCCACATATACAGGTTTCCCACCCTTTTTTCCTAATTTCTCTATTGCGACCTATCCTGCTAATCAGGTCCTCCTCCTACGTCTGCCAAAACGTTGCCCCCAGCACTGAAACAGAAAAGGGTTTGCCCCATTACCTCTCATGTGTCATCCAGAGGTAACAATACCCTTTTCATCCCACCCCGGGAAAAACACCTCCTCCCTCCTACCCCTTTCCCTTTCAAACAGAAGGGCCCTATCTATTACCTAATCACTATCCCCAACAAAAACAATGTTTTTCCTTCCTTGGCGTCGTCCGAAAGTGATGCTCCGAGTAGTCACTAAAAATTCGCCGGTAGCATACACCACTTGTAAATTCGTCAGACGTTCTCGATGGTCTTCTTTGGGGGGTTTTTGGGATGTCCCCACGTCGGGCCCTGCTACCTTGGTCCTCGTTGTGGAATTCCATAGAAACACTCACATTCGTAGGTAGCACCGAGAATGAGTTGGAAATTTTCCCGGGAGTCTTCGGTTTTCGTTTTTCTGCCTCTCCAAACCCTTTTCCCTTTTCTTCAGCTTGGGGTTTCCCGTTGCCCGACCACTGACCAAGCCCCCTCTTTAAACCCGGGGACCCAACAGGAGGGTTACTACAATCCCTTGTTTCCCCCCCGTTTAAATCGCCGATCTCCATTACAACTCTGAGTTCTTCTTCAGTGCTGGTAAAGCCTCAAAAGGGCATCCTGGTTCAGATTCACAAAAAGCACACAAACAGGTCTTCACGAGCAATACAGTCACCCCTGACAAGTACTTTCCGGGGTTTGACATCCTCTACTTTTTAAAAATCACCTTTTTTAACCACGCCCCTTTTGAGATACCCCCTCATTCTACGTCTCCCAAGTGAAGTTCAAACCTCTAAGTCGCTCCATACAGGAGATTTCCCCAAAACAGTAAAAACATTTTTGTCATTCTTCTCTGTATGTTTTCCAATGAATCTATACCATCCTGAAGAAAGGGAAACCAAAATTGAGCGGATAATCCAAATGGGCCCTCACAGTGATGTTAAGTTAAAATAACTTTTGGATTTTTTTTAAAAACTTCTTGAAAAAAATCTGTAATCTTTTACCCTTTGTTGTCACATTAGGCACTGCTGTCTTGGCTTTAGATTTCTGCTTACCATGCTCCCATTTTTTTTTTCCATTCTGTAACAATCTACTTCACCTAATTTATAACTCGCGGGTAATTTTCTTTTCCAAAGCTTGGGGACTTACATTGACACATTGATTTTTCATCTGGAAGGGGTGAAGAATAAACTAAAACGTTGAGGAGGCCCAGGAGCGTGAAAAAAATTTTTAACTTAAATGTTCAGGATGACCGAGCCATGAACAGAACTCCATCACAAATCAGTTTTACTGTTAAGGTGTTATTAATTTTATCAATCTCGTCTTTTTCAAAGCCCAGCCTTATTAAAACTACCAAACTCCCCAAATCGCCCAACATCGACAAATCCCCGGGGTCCTACGGGGAACAGGGACAGCAAGTAAAAGGGATATATCCCCAACTTTTCAACCGTTGGGAAAACGTTGGGCTGTGTATTATTCTGTGTCCCTGTTCACCTATCAGAAAGTAGGTATGTACGTAAGTAAAAACCGATTGTTTGGGTCGCATTTACAAAATAACAATATTTAGAAACCTCATTTCAGCAAAATTAATCCACAAGAATATTAGCTAAAATTATTCTTTTAAGATTTTTAAACAATTTTAAAAAAAAAAGATTGGTTAAATAAAATTCATAAAAATAAAAAAAATTGCTAGTTTTAAAAGGGTGACGAAAAATTTATGAATTTTACAAATATGCATTATAAGTTTATAATTTTACGAAAAGGGGAATTTTTTTCCCTTCCTGTCATGCCCAATTTGGGGAAAAAAAAATCCAAGGGGTTTTTATCAGACTCCACTGGGCATTGTTACTCACAAAAAAAATATTATAGTAAATTTTATATACTTTGTTCAAATAACAAATTTAAACCAATAAAATGTGAAGTAAGAATAAAAAAAAAAAAATATTTAGGCTCATATTGGTTGCAGCTCCCCCTAAAGGGGACCCCAAGGAAGGTTCCTTGTTTTGGTGGGGGGCTCTGATTTAGGGTTTTGGCGTGCTCCATTTCCCCCAAATTTTAAGCCTAAATCCTTCCCATACCCCCCCCAGGCGCTGTATAATCCCCGGGGTTTACGCTTCCCCTTGATTAAAATAAAAATTAATAATAACCCCCTAAAAGGGAGGTTCCTTGACGCTGGTGGGGCCTTGATCTGGGGAATTGGATCTGTGCTCCAGTTCCATTGAACTGAATACCTTCCTTTCCCCCCCCCCCCCACACCCGCGTATAATCCTACGGGTTTTAGCGCTCCCTGTAAAATATTTAATGATTGCAGTTTTTTTTCCCAAAAAACAATTCTTTAAATTTTTAAATAGTTCGCAAAAGGAGACTTTAATCTCAAAATTTAAAACAATTATCTTTAAAGAATGAAATATTTGCCATATCCCCCAAAGGACCCGAATGGATATAATCATTTGTCTGACTTTTTGGGTTTACCCTGGGAATTTGTCGCTTGATACTGTGTATGTTTTTGACTTATGACTCCCCATTTGGGGGTTGAGGGTCGAGTCCAAGCTCCGGGCCCCCCGCCCTCTTCACGGTCGTACGGGGTCACTCCCCTGAACCATGAGCTTTATCATACCTCTGCACCAAATAACTTACTTAAGTCACTTTGATTTTTTTGCGGGTTATCCTGGAATTTGCACATAATATAATAATTTTATTTCTACTGTACCGGGACCAGCCTAGATGTGACGTGACAATAAAATACAAAAAGTTCCCTTTTAAGCAGAGCTTTGGGGAAATTTGGTCTTTTGTACTCAGGGCAACCCCCAACCAGTCGACTTACACCCCGGTACCGTTTTTCTGCTAGATGACTGGACAGCAGTGTCCTAAGGGAAAACAAAACCCCCCGTTTCCACCCGTACCGGGGATCGAACCACGGGGCGTCGTGGTGATGAGTCGTAGCAAACGAGCTATGTATGTAATTTTAATTAGTGGACCAAACCTAATAAACTTACCCCGTCACTTTGACTTTTTTGGGGATCCTAGGGAAATTACACTATGTTATAATTGTACTTTTTTTTTTTTTTTACAGATTTTGCCATGAATGCTAGTTATTGTGCACCCACATCCTTGTGGACGGTTGCGCAACAACATATCGATACACAAAAACCCAGGAACTAGGCCCCCAAAAGGGTACAGGGAATAAATTTTGGGTTTATTCTACATATCTACAGTTCACTTATCTGTTAAACAAATTTAGGGAAATTTTCTTAGTATAAAATGGGATCTTTTTTTTCTTTTTTAAGATACTTGACAGTAATAGGTTTTTTTCATCTCTGTATTTCCCCAATAATGGCAATTAAAACACATAGTGTTCAAGACGTGACCTATGCCCGATCACTATTTCATTTAGTTTGACATCTTGTGTGTCTGCCAAACTGCCGAAGTTGGCGCTTGGAGGGGGGAAAAGGACCCCCTTTAAAAACCCAACAAGAAGTAAGCTTGTGCCCCCGGGGACCCTTAACAACCTCAACACTACATGTAATTAACCATTTTGATTTAATAACGAGAAAAAAGTAAAATAAGTTTATTTGGGTTTCACAAAAAAACGTTTAAAAAGATTATCATACATCGCAAAGTTTAATTTCCCAGGATAAACCAAAAAAATCAACGAGTGGGCCCCTTTTTGCCATCGGGGCCTTTGGGGGGTTTATACTGTTAAGGGCTTTTAAATTTTAGGAATTGGTTTACCCCGATCAGACCTGATTTTAAATTTCCCATTCCTAGGCAATGTATGACCCCAATATTTGGTATATCCTAAGAATACTGTATAATAATTTTTTTGCCTGTTTGTCCCCCCAAGGGCTATTCTTTGAACCCGATTGTTGGCTCTCCTTTTTTTTTTAATAATAATAATGAACCTGATTGCCTAGAAGCGCTTAGCCTAATTTAGTTTTTTTGAAATGTTGTGTTACACACTATGGGCTTTCAAAATTTTTTTTCCATATTTTTTTATAATAATTAAAATTATTTTCATTTTAAATTTTTATTAAATTATTTTATTTAGAACTATTATTTTTATTGATGAAATTCTTTATTTGTTTCAGTATTAATTAGATGAGACACTTTGAAGGGAAAAATAAGATTTTTTTTAAAATTTTTAACCCGAAGGGGTTTGTCACCCGGTAAACCCAAAAAAAAAATCTGCATCAAGAGGATGTCTTTTTTTTTCCAATGGGGTCTTTTAAAACTTTTTCCCCAAATACGCCCCACCCCAGTCGACTAACACCCAGGTACCTACTTGCTTGCTAGGTGAACGGGGACAACAGGTGTAAGGAAACACACCCAGTGCTTCCACCCTTGCCTGGATTGAACCACGGACACTTACTATGCAAAGTGACATTATGTTGACTAAGCCAAGGATATACCTGAAGAATGTTTTTGGGGCTCAATGCTACCATGGCCCAGTCCCAGTCTAAGGCTCCTGGTGGGTCAAGGCATGATTAGCCAGGCTGTTGCTGTTAGATACTCACAGTTTGACATATGAGCCACAGTCCAGTTGACCAGGAGCTAACTTGAGGAACTTATCAAGACAACCAGGGGTCTGTTGGTAATCCTCACTGTGTATAGATAATGCATGATGTTAAAAACAATGCAATTTCAATGTATAACTGTTACCTGTGACAAGTTTCGATAGCTTTTCTACCCTTACAGCTCGGCTTGGGCTAGGGCTGTTGTATGTTTATGTTGTACATTACTATACAGTACTAAAATTAATACAGTGTAACCTCTTGTTATTTACAGGGTATTTACAATGGCCCGAGTATGTGGACTTGTCCGTCCTCTTCAGCATTTTCCAAGAGATAGCTGTGTCCCTCTCCTAAAAGTACCATCAGTTTCATCATGTATTACCACTGCTTCATTGTATACAAGAATTAAAGAGGTAAAACACTGTCTGAAATGTTATGCAGAACTGTACGATACAGGAGTTAAAGATTATTTTATTGTGGTACTCTGTAAAGTTATGGAGTATTGTTGAGCTATCAGACAATATGCACTAGTCTTAAAACAACATTGAAATCTTTATAATTTGTAATGGTTATGAACATTATAGCAGTGCAACTTATAATAGATGATTTCATTGACCTGAAATTATCTTCATTAGCCTTCTGATATGGTAATGAGGATTTTTTGACTAAAACAAGCAGTGTTGCAGACTCATCCCACAAGCATTTACACTTGCAACTTGAAAAACTTCATTTTACAAAACCGTACAACACTTGTCAGCAAAAGTTACGTGTCATGAATGCATAAAAAAAAATGTGTGGATACTAGTCTGTTTTATCATTTACTGCAATAAAATATATGCAAATCTATTATGAAAAGTTTAAATTTATCAAAACTTACGCACACAAACATTCACAGATCATACAATGCGCTATTCGCAGTTGAGGGAAATGTAAATAGAAGTAAAGATGCAATATTAAATCATAACTGCATAAGATTAACTTTAGTGTTAGTAATACATATAACATCTACAGTGTTTTGTATCATATAAGTCAATATTGATGCAGGTACTGACAGACATGATTCATCTTGTAAGCTGACACCATAAACTTACAGTATCAATAACTAAAGTACATTATTGTAAATGTATTTTCACTTCCTTGTGATTTTCTTAATAACATTTTCTTTTCTCTAGCTTACTTTATTATAAGAATACAGTGTATAATACATATAACATATAAAATATGTGTAAATCAACTGTTTATGTTATCTGTAAGGTTAATTGTCAATAGTTGGCCATTAGTAGTTAAGTTTTGGGAAGTCATAAGTTATGCACAGATTTTTCGACCGCACAGGGGCTTGGCGATCCTAATCCCTGCGTTGTTCAAGGGTCAACTGTATAAACATTGGTGAACAAAAAATTAGTTTAAAAGTGGTTGGTGGACAGTAACCATCCAGGGAGACAAAAAATCCTGTCATGTGAGACTGAATATGAATCCTATTAACTATTTTGTACTCAGGTATTTGCTGGTCATTTTCTTTAAACATATTTTGCAAATTATCTGATTCCATCTTTATTATCTACATCAGAAACAGATAGAGCTGAAGAAATCATTCTGTTCAAAATTTCTAATTATTGGAGGCCATGGATAAATTAGGTGCAGTTGTTTAGTAGTACGTATTTAATTTTTTTTTTAACATGTCGGCTGTTTTCCACCGAGGCAGGGTGACCCAAAAAGAAAGAAAAAACTTTCATCATCATTCAAGACTTTCACCATCACTCATGCACATTCACTGTCTTTGCAGAGGTGCTCAGATACAACAGCTTAGACATCCCTCCAAACTGCCAATATCCCAAACCTCTCCTTTAAAGTGCAGGCACTGTACTTCCCATTTCTAGGACTCAAGTCCGGCTAACCGGTTTCCCTGAATCCCTCCACAAAATATATTACCCTGCTCACACTCCAACAGCTCGTCAGGTCCCAAAAACTATTTGAAAGTCCAAGCCCCTCACTCACAAAACCTCCTTTACCCCCTCCCTTCAACCTTTTTGAGGACGACTCGTACTTTGCCATCCTTCCACTACAGATTTATACGCTCTCCAAGTCATTCTACTATGTTCCATTCACTCTAAATGATCAAACCACCTCAACGGCCCTCTTCATCCCTCTGACTAATACTTTTAGTAACTCCACACCTCCTCCTAATTTCCACACTTTGAATTCTCTGCATAATACTTACACCACACATTGCCCATTTACAGGACATCTCCACTGCCTCCAGCCACCTCCTCGCTGTAACATTTACAACCCATGTTTCACACCCATATAAGAGTGTTGGTACCACCGTACTCTCGTACATTCCCTTCTTTGCTTCCATGGATGACGTTTTTTGTCTCAACAGATACCTCAATGCACCAATCACCTTTTTTCCTTCATCAGTTCTATGGTTAACCTCATTCTTCATAAACCCATCAGCTGACAGGTCAGCTCGCAAATATCTGAAAACATTCACTTCTTCCATACTCCCTCTCTCCAATGTGATATCCAATTTTTCTTTATTAACCCTTTGAGGGTCCGTCCCGTAGATCTACGGCTTTACGTTCAGGGTCCAAACCGTAGATCTACGTCATGAGCTCAGCTCACTCTGATAAACTGTGAGTGGTACATTTGGGCCTAGATATGAGAGAATACATCTATGTGGTATGTGTGCACCACATAAAACAGATCCTACAGCACGCTGTGTATAATGAGAGAAAAAAACTGAAATCATGATTTTTCGATTAAAACAGCGACTTTGCAGTGTTTTTTCGTATGTTTTTTATAGTTCTATTTGCGATTTCTTGGTCTCATTTGATAGAATGGAAGACATATCACAGAAATAAAGATGATTTTGATTGGTTTTAGCACTGGAAATGGCTTGAAACTGAGCTCAAAGTAGCAGAAATGTTAAATTTTTGCCGATATTCAAGAGTAAACAAATGACCTCACACGTCTAATACACGCCAGCTGGTGGGTCTAATATGCATTCACAAATATGGTGATGATATTTATACAATTATTACAGTATTGCATAACGGTAAATCTTCTATTTTTTGGTGTGAATAAAAATTCATTATGTGAATAAAAAATAAAAATGGAATTTATTTGTAAAGCCTCAAAACGTAACTAATGAACAGAGGAAATGTTAGTTTAGTTCCAGGAATACCTACATTGTTTATTCTGGACCCTATTTTGAAATTGGAATATTTTGAACTTTGTGTAAAATTGGCCAAATTAACAATTTCTGATCACTTTAATTTGTAGTTGAAACAGTTGACTTGGCGATTTCTTGTGCTCAATCGATAGAATAGAAGTAATACTAGTAAAATAGCTAAGAATTTGGTTGACTGGAATAATGTAATTGGCCTAAAATGGGAGTCAAAGTCGGCAAAATCGCCGATTCGTAAATATCACTTGACACATCAAAATTCGCGAGAGCATAATTTCGTCAATTTTCCATCAAATTTCGTACTTTTTGTTTTATTACCTTCACAAAAAGATTCTCTACCATTTCACAAGAAAAATAAATTTTTTTTTTTTTTAAATTCTTGGACACTGGGGCACCAATTCAGATTTGGGCCTTGGACCCTGAAGGGGTTAAAATCATTTGCAGATGACACCCGAATCTGCATGACAGTGTCTTCCATTGCAGACACTGCAAGGCTCCAGGTGGACATCAACCAAATCTTTCAGTGGGCTGCAGAAAACAATATGAAGTTCAACGATGAGAAATTTCAATTACTCAGATATGGTAAACACGAGGAAATTAAATCTTCATCAGAGTACAAGACAAATTCTGGCCACAAAATAGAGCGAAACACCAACGTCAAAGACCTGGGAGTGATCATGTCGGAGGATCTCACCTTCAAGGACCATAACATTGTATCAATTGCATCTGCTAGAAAAATGACAGGATGGATAATGAGAACCTTCAAAACTAGGGAGGCCAAGCCCATGATGACACTCTTCAGGTCACTTGTTCTATCTAGGCTGGAATATTGCTGCACACTAACAGCACCTTTCAAGGCAGGTGAAATTGCTGACCTAGAAAATGTACAGAGAACCTTCACGGCGCGCATAACGGAGATAAAACACCTCAATTACTGGGAGTGCTTGAGGTTCCTAAACCTGTATTCCCTGGAATGCAGGCGGGAGAGATACATGATTATATACACCTGGAAAATCCTAGAGGGACTAGTACCGAACTTTCACACGAAAATCACTCACTACGAAAGCAAAAGACTTGGCAGACGATGCAACATCCCCCCAATGAAAAGCAGGGGTGTCACTAGCACATTAAGAGACCATACAATAAGTGTCAGGGTCCCGAGACTGTTCAACTGCCTCCCAGCATACATAAGGGGGATTACCAACAGACCCCTGGCAGTCTTCAAGCTGGCACTGGACAAGCACCTAAAGTCGGTTCCTGACCAGCCGGGCTGTGGCTCGTATGTTGGTTTGCGTGCAGCCAGCAGTAACAGCCTGGTTGATCAGGCTCTGATCCACCAGGAGGCCTGGTCACAGACCGGGCCGCGGGGGCGTTGACCCCCGGAACTCTCTCCAGGTAAAGTCCAGGTAATACCCTCATCACCTTACTCTTATCTATTTTCACTTTCAAGTTTCTACCTTTACACACCCTCCCAAACTTGTCCACTAACCTTTGCAACTTTTCTTTAGAATCTCCCAAAAGCACAGTATCATAAGCAAAAAGTAACTGTGTCAACTTCCATTTTGTATTTGATTCCACATAATTTAATCCCACCCCTCTCTCCAGCACCCTAGCATTTACTTTTACAACCCCATCTGTAAGTATGTTAAGCAACCATGGTGACATTACACATCTCTGTCTAAGACCTACTTTTACTGGAAAGTAATCTCCCTCTCTCCTACACACCCTAAGCTGAACCTCACTATCCTCGTAAAAACTTTACAGCATTCAGTAACTTTCTACCTATTCCATACACTTGCAACATCTGCCACATTGCTCCTCTATCCACTCTATCATATGCCTTTTCTAAATCCATAAATGTAATGAAAACTCCCCTACCTTTATCTAAATACTTTTCACATATATGCTTCAATGTAAACATTTGATCTACACATCCCCTACTCATTCTAAAATGTTATGAAATAAAAATTAATACACGTACTATCCTAAGAGGTACAATACACGTACTCATTTTATTGCATCCGTTATTTGAACTAGAATTAAAATACATATGTTTTTGAGTAATACACTATACTATTCTATAACAGAGACAGCTAATTTGTTGGAAGGCACCACAAAGGTTGCTTTTTATTCGAAAGTTTAGCAACAAGGAGATAAAGACGTCCTCTTCAAATACTGAGCCAAAGTAGGTGATATATATTTCAATCCAATATGTTTTGCTATATACATGCACTTTGTATGATACCTGAAATATGAGGGTGAGGAGGGAATAAGTACAACTAAATGGAGAGATTGAATATGGTTTACATTTAAAGAATGTACTACTATAGTCCCATACTCTAAACAGTTGTATAGAAATATTACATATGGATATAATAATTATACTGTATGTACGTACTTGTTTTGCTGTATGAATCTAATTTCAACAAAATAATTGTTCTTCATCAGAGTTGATATTGGGCCTGGCACGTGGAAGGAAATCTATCATGGTATTCTTTCAACTCAAATAAAGATGGTGAAAACATTCTCCCTCTCCACTTCTTTTCTGGGCCTTATGGTACAGCCCGTCCTCCTGCAGGTTAGTACAGTACAGTTAGTACAGTGTACTGTGAAGGTTGAATTTTTATATGACACATTTGAAAGATTTCATTAGACTTGTTTTGGACATTTCATGCTCTAAGAAAGATATTGCTGAATCCAATAACCCCAGTCCCCTGTGCCTCAATGTATGCAACAGGAATAGTGTGGGGTGGGATGTTGGGCTTAAATTTCCAATGATAATTAGCAAATTACCTCTTATGCAGTAATTACAGCTTCAACCTTCTAAGTAGGATACAGCAGCATTGAAAACTCTAACCATATTAGAAGAGGCTTTTTCAAATTATCTCACAGAAACCAACATGCCAGTAGTTGAATAACCATTTTGTTCAGTCACAGTACACAACCTTTAAAAATTAGAGGCCAATCAAATGAAGCATTCTCAAGTTATAAATGAAAACCTTGGAGGAAGACAAAAAATTAAAGGTATACTCCTTTAATGACATCTAATTATCAGAGTAGAAACTATTACGGTGGTACCTTGAGTTACGAACTTAATTCGTTCCAGAAGGCTGTTCGAGTACCGATACCGAACGAATTTGTTCTCATAAGGAATAATGTGAATTAGATTAGTCCATTTCACACCCCCAAAAATTCACTTACAAAAGCACTTACAAAAGTACACTTACATAATTGTTCGAGTTGGGAGCTGTTCAAAACTCGAGGTACCACTGTATATGAAAAATCAGAGCTAGATACCCAGATGTCAAATTAATATTGCATATTCAACCCATCCTACACCTTAAACAGTGTGAGGTTACCAACAATTACAGTGGCTGAAGATATGTCTTACACTGTCAGACATATGCATTCAATTTATGTAATTTCATTATCAGTGATTAAGTATGTATACAGTACTGTAGGTAAATATAGGCTGAGTTAATCTAAATTAATTTAATCTAACCTCACAGAGAATCTTCTGTTTATTTTATTGTTTCTGAAGGACAGTGTGGTATGCCATATATTACTAGCTATAAATTGACTTTTTCTTGTGTACAAAATCAATATGTATCCCCTCTTCATAATGAGTGTAGGGAAAACAGGTCACCGGCTCAGGTAGGGTAGGGTATGGCAACCCTGTGCCTCTATAGTATATTATCAGCTACTCTCTCATTCTGTTTATGCCATTGTATAGCCCTTATAAACATATGTAAGTATGTCATTTTCTTTAGTAGCCCAGTTGTTTATTTCTCCTAGATTCTAGTACAGTATCATAAGTAAACAAACATTTTATGTACATTGATGAGGAAGGCACAAACAGTAAGGTCATACAGGTAATTTTTTTTTATGGTATACGTATTTCATTACTCTGAGTTGCTCTGAGCATCTGCTCACTTCGTACTTTCCAGCTACTTGTATGGTCATTTAGTTCATCTTGTTAGAGAGCTATATGATGGATAAATATGACAGAATTATTTTATTGGGCACAGGGATTCTTTGAACAATAAATGAGCATTGGTTTACTTAAATATCTTAATGTCTTGGAGCAGACAAGTGTATGGTAAAAGTAACTTTACAATGCAAAAAACTAATTTCTCGTAGAAATTGGGTAGTTGCACATCAATGATATTACACATGACTGACTATCATAAAACAGGGAAAGTTTATATTGTATTATATTTTTGGTTAACAAAAGTATAACAGCAAAGCTTTGAATTTGAAAATGCAGTAGTAACATAAGGTAATTTCAGGAGATTCCATTCGATGTGAGCTCAGTGCAAGAATTTTCCTGGCATGTATTTTTATTTTTTATTAGCACAATGGCCAATTCTCACCAAGGCAGGGTGGCCCAAAAAAGAAAAACTTTCACCATCATTCACTCCATCACTGTCTTGCCAGAAGGGTGCTTTACACTACAGTTTTTAAACTGCAACATTTACACCCCTCCTTCAGAGTGCAGGCACTGTACTTCCCATCTCCAGGACTCAAGTCCGGCCTGCGGTTTCCCTGAATCCCTTCATAAATGCTACTTTGCTCATACTCCAACAGCACGTCAAGTATTAAAAACCATTTGCCTCCATTCACTCCTATCAAACACGCTCACGCATGCCCACTGGAAGTCCAAGCTCCTCGCACACAAAACCTCTTTTACCCCCTCCCTCCAACCTTTCCTAGGCTGACCCCTATGCTGCCCTCCTTCCACTACAGACTGATACACTCTTGAAGTCATTCTGTTTTGCTCCATTCTCTCTACATGTCCGAACCACCTCAACAACCCTTCCTCAGCCCTCTGGACAACAGTTTTGGCAATCCCGCACCTCCTCCTAACTTCCAAACTACGAATTCTCTGCATTATATTCACACCACACATTGCCCTCAGACATGACATCTCCATTGCCTCCAGCCTTCTCCTCGCTGCAACATTCATCACCCATGCTTCACACCCATATAAGAGCGTTGGTAAAACTATACTCTCATACATTCCCCTCTTTGCCTCCAAGGACAAAGTTCTTTGTCTCCACAGACTCCTAAGTGCACCGCTCACCCTTTTCCCCTCATCAATTCTATGATTCACCTCATCTTTCATAGACCCATCTGCTGACACGTCTACTCCCAAATATCTGAATACATTCACCTCCTCCATAATCTCTCCCTCCAATCTGATATCCAATCTTTCATCACCTAATCTTTTTGTTATCCTCATAACCTTACCCTTTCCTGTATTCATTTTTAATTTTCTTCTTTTACATACCCTACCAAATTCATCCACCAACCTCTGCAACTTCTCTTCAGAATCTTCCAAGAGCATAGTGTCATCAACAAAGAGCAACTGTAACAACTCCCACTTTATGTGTGATTCTTTATCTTTTAACTCCACGCCTCTTGCCAAGACCCTCGCATTTACTTCTCTTACAATCCCATCTATAAATATATTAAACAACCATGGTGACATCACACATCCTTGTCTAAGGCCTACTTTTACTGGGAAATAATCTCCCTCTTTCCTACATACTCTAACTTGAGCCTCACTATCCTCGTAAAAACTCTTCACTGCTTTCAGTAACCTACCTCCTATACCATACACCTGCAACATCTGCCACATTGCCCCCCTATCCACCCTGTCATACGCCTTTTCCAAATCCATAAATGCAACAAAAACCTCTTTAGCCTTATCTAAATACTGTTCACTTATGTGTTTCACTGTAAACACCTGGTCCACACACCCCCTACCTTTCCTAAAGCCTCCTGTTCATCTGCTATCCTATTCTCCGTCTTACTCTTAATTCTTTCAGTAATAACTCTACCATACACTTTACCAGGTATACTCAACAAACTTATCCCCCTATAATTTTTGCACTCTCTTTTGTCCCCTTTGCCTTTATACAAAGGAACTATGCATGCTCTCTGCCAATCCCTAGGTACCTTACCCTCTTCCATACATTTATTAAATAATAGCTCCAACCACTCCAAAACTACATCCCCCACCTTCTTTTAACATTTCTATCTTTATCCCATCAATCCCAGCTGCCTTACCCCCTTTCATTTTACCTACTGCCTCACAAACTTCCCTCACACTCACAACTGGCTCTTCCTCATAACTACAAGATGTTATTCCTCCTTGCCCTATACATGAAATCACAGCTTCCCTATCTTCATCAACATTTAACAGTTCCTCAAAATATTCCCTCCATCTTCCCAGTACCTCTAATTCTCCATTTAATAACTCTCCTCTCCTATTTTTAACTGACAAATCCATTTGTTCTCTAGGCTTCCTTAACTTGTTAATCTCACTCCAAAACTTTTTCTTATTTTCAACAAAATTTGTTGATAACATCTCACCCACTCTCTCATTTGCTCTCTTTTTACATTGCTTCACCACTCTCTTAACCTCTCTCTTTTTCTCCATATACTCTTCTGTCCTTGCATCACTTCTACTTTGTAAAAACTTCTCATATGCTAACTTTTTCTCCCTTACTACTCTCTTTACATCATCATTCCACCAATCGCTCCTCTTCCCTCCCGCACCCACTTTCCTGTAACCACAAACATCTGCTGAACACACTAGCACTACATTTTTAATCTACCCCATACCTCTTCGACCCCATTGCCTATGCTCTCATTAGCCCATCTATCCTCCAATAGCTGTTTATATCTTACCCTAACTGCTTCCTCTTTTAGTTTATAAACCTTCACCTCTCTCTTCCCTGATGCTTCTATAAACATGTACATCCTGAAGTCTACTCAACAGTCTTTTATCTACCAATACATAATCCAACAAACTACTGTCATTTTGCCCTACATCATATTTTGTGTACTTATTTATCCTCTTTTTCTTAAAATATGCATTACCTATAACTAAACCCCTTTCTATACAAAGTTCAATCAAAGGGCTCCTATTATCATTTACACTTGGCACCCCAAACTTACCTACCACACCCTCTCTAAAAGTTTCTCCTACTTTAGCATTCAGGTCCCCTACCACAATTACTCTCTCACTTGGTTCAAAGGTTCCTATACATTCACTTAACATCTCCCAAAATCTCTCTTTCTCCTCTACATTCCTCTCTTCTCCAGGTGCATACACGCTTATTATACCCACTTTTCGCATCCAGCCTTTACTTTAATCCACATAATCCTTGAATTTACACATTCATATTCTCTTTTCTCCTTCCATAACTGATCCTTCAACATTATTGCTACCCCTTCCTTAGCTCTAACTCTCTCAGATACTCCAGATTTAATCCCGTTTATTTCCCCCCACCGAAACTCTCCTACCCCCTTCAGCTTTGTTTCGCTTAGGGCCAGGACATCCAACTTCTTTTCATTCATAACATCAGCAATCATCTGTTTCTTGTTATCTGCACTACATCCATGCACATTCAAGCATCCCAGTTTTATAAAGTTTTTCTTCTTCTCTTTTTTAGTAAATGTTTACAGGAGAAGGGGTTACTAGCCCATTGCTCCCGGCATTTTAGTTGCCTCATACGACACACATGGCTTACGGAGGAAAGATTCTTTTCCACTTCCCCATAGACAATAGAAGAAATAAAGAACAAGAGCTATTTAGAAAATGGAGAAAAACCTAGATGTATGTATATATATATGCATGTGCGTGTCTGTGAAGTGTGACCAAAGTGTAAGTAGGAGTAGCAAGATATCCCTGTTATCTAGCGTGTTTATGAGAAAGAAAAAGACACCAGCAATCCTACCATCATGTAAAACAGTTACAGGTTTCTGTTTCACAATCATCTGACAGGACAGAAGTACTTCCCTTTGTGGTTGCTGTCTAATATCATGTTGTATACTAGGGGTAGGTAGGTAGGTAAATAGCTCTGGAATATGAAGAGTACTTTGATTGTTTAGAGCACTCAGTGCTTTGGCACATTATGACTAATATTTATCTTAAATCTCTCTGTGAAGAGATTGTTATTAAGGATGTAATGCACTTATTAATGTTGCATTTGTTATGGTGACAATTTTATTGTTAATGATTGTTTAGCATGCAAAATGACAAAATTTTTTAAAGGTATGAATTTTCAGTAAATTATTATATCTTCTTTCTTTCAACACACCGGCCGTATCCCACCGAGGCAGGGTGACCCAAAAGGAAAAACGAAAGTTTCTCCTTTTACATTTAGTAATATATACAGGAGAAGGGGTTACTAACCCCTTGCTCCCGGTATTTTAGTCGCCTCTTACAACATGCATGGCTTACGGAGGAAGAATTCTGTTCCACCGCCCCATGGAAGTAAGAGGAAATAAACAAGAACAAGAACTAGAAAGAAAAAAGAAGAAAATCCAGAGGGGTGTGTGTATATATATGCTTGTACATGTATGTGTAGTGTGACCTAAGTGCAAGTAGAAGTAGCAAGACGTACCTGAAATCTTGCATGTTTATGAGACAGACAAAAGACACCAGTAATCCTACCATCATGTAAAACAATTACACGTACAGGCTTTCGTTGTACACTCACTTGGCAGGATGGTAGTACCTCCCTGGGCGGTTGCTGTCTACCAACCTACTACCTAGAAAATTATTATATAATGAAACTAAATTAAACTTGTAGTAAACAATTGTGCAGAGGTGAATCTTAGTCTTTATATTACTTGGATATTCTTGATATCGTAGGTAGTAGGTTGGTAGACAGCAACCACCCAGGGAGGTACTACTGTCCTGCCAAGTGAGTGTAAAACAAAAGCCTGTAGGATTGTTGGTATCTTTTTTCTGTCTCATAAACATGCAAGATTTCAAGTACGTCTTGCTACTTCTACTTACACTTGGGTCACACTACACATGCATGTATGTACAAGTATATATACACACACCCCTCTGAGTTTTCTTCTATTTTCTTGCTAGTACTTTTTCTTTTTTATTTCCACTTTTCTCCATGGGGAAGTGGAACAGAATTCTTCCTCCGTAAGCCATGCGTGTTGTAGGAGGCGACTGGAATGCCAGGAGCAAGGGGCTGGTAACCTCTTCTCCTGTATGTTTTACTTAATTTAAAAGAAGAAACTTTCGTTTTTCCTTTTGGGCCACCCTGCCTCAGTGGGATGCAACTGGTGCGTTGAAAGAAGATTCTTGATTGTAAACATCACTGACTGAAATTTTTTCATATATTTCAGAAAGTGGTAGGGACTCAAATGGGAGTGATTCTTGCTGTCGGTTCCTTTGTTGGATTCTTTACCTTCATCACTCCGTTGATCATTCACTGGATTACAAAGAAGTATGTGACCTGCTTAGAATATGATCCAGAGAAAGATATGTACTCAGCCACTACTCTGTCATTCTTCTTGAGGAGGAAAAAGGTAATGCTGTATATGTTTTACAACACACTGGATAATAATCTGGGACAAAAGTTGAAGTGAAGTAAAATGGAAACAGTGTGGTATATAGAAAATGGCAGTTGTATAAAAACTAGAAAAATAAATAATTAAAATTATTATTCAACTATAAATACCAAAAGATAATAGAAAGGGCAGGAAATAATATTTCAAGGACAACAAACAGTACTGTTAAGTGGATAACTCGTTGGCTTTATTTCAAGCTGCTACTTGACCCTTACTGGTTTGGCATGTTCCAGTGAATATAATTTGTTTGACCCTGACAGCACTCTTATGGGAGTTGCTCTGCAGCATCACCTGTTGGATGGCTATTATTTTTTTTAGTGACATCATTTAAAAATTTTTGTCCCTGCAGCTCTGTACATAGTGCCTTCTTCTACAGCATCTTACAATTTGGGATGGATTAGTATGGCTCATAGTTACTGCTAAGAAGTATGAAAGCACATTCTTAAGGTCAAAGGATAGAAATTCAAGGCATAACAACTATGAAGGTCAAAGGTTTAACTACATAAGCTATTCACTTAAGGTTTTTTTTCTGTTAGTTTTCATATTTTACTTTTTCAGCATTTTCAGGAGATTTAAATTTTTCCATTAAAATTAAAGAAGGTATGGCTCAAAAGTATGTATTTAGAGTAAAAAGGAATATTTTGTCAATCAATAACCCCCTTGTTTTACCTCCCTCATCCTTTCACATGGGAGTGTTTCATGCGTGTCATTTTACTTTTTTTTTTTTCTTTCATACGTTGAGTTATGTTAAGTATAGTACTTTAGTGTTTATTTTTTTCCCCTATGGGCATTCTTTCTATCTAGCTATTTTTAAGCTGAATTTGATTATATCATGAGCATTTTGAATTCAAAGTTATTTTATTACACTAGAGCTGGAAAATGTTGACAAAATCAGTTGATAACTTAACCTTTGATTTCTTTGGGGAGCAAGGAGAGGGTACCATGCAACATTGTTGTGTATTTATGTACAGTGGGCCTCACTTATATGGCAGGTTAGGTTCCAGGCTACTGCCACAAAGCAGACATCGCTGGAAAGCAGAACACCATTTTTTCCACTTACAAGTGCACAGAAATGCCAGATTACAAGTTTACACTAACATATATTAAGTTAGCAATAGAATTTAGGCATTAAAAACAATAAAAAGTAAAATACACACACAGTACACTCATTATTTACCTCAAAATATTTGTAGTCTTAATGTAGGGCAAAAGGTGAGTAGTATTTATTGTAAGAAGTCAGGTGTGGGTAGGTATCGTAGCCCTTCTGGCCACCCCACCCACACATAATAAACTACGACACTTAAAGCACCCTAGAGTGATAAAATGCATATACAGTACACTCATTACTTACCTCAAAATATTTGTAGTCTTAATGGTCTTAATGTAGGGTGAGAGGCAAAAAGTAGTATTTATTTGTGGAAAGTCAGGTGTGGGAGGTAGGGTAGGGTAGCCTGCCTGGCCACCCCACCCACTATGTAAACAAATGGACGAATCATCTGGTTATGGTTTATACACATTCATACAAACACCTTACATTGTGTACAAGTTGTCTCCACACTGGTATAGTAGAATAAATAAAGACTAACACTTCCATTCTCGTGTAACATTTTTAGAAGTTATGATGCTCTGACAAGTTAGTACAGAATAAATAAACAGCAACACTCCCATTTTCATGCAACACACCATTTTTAGAGTGAATGATATTATTATTATAATCATAATAAAAAAGAAGTGCTAAACCCACAAGGGTCATGAATAGCTAAAGATAGATTGAAGGCATACAAAAGGAATATTTTTCTACAGTTAAGTAACTGGTGTTTGACTAGAGAAAGCATAATTCTTCCAACACTCTTGCAGACCGCTTGGTAAACAGATCTCATATTTATGTCAAATTTTATACTGTGGGTGTATGTATTATGTTTATATGTTATGTAGCATGTTTATTACACATAATTTTGAAAAAATATCATAGATGGATTAATGGAAATGTCTATATTAACGTATTATACGACATTTAATGTGTCCAAGAGATTATTTGGCGTCGAGTAGAGAGACTCTTAGTGATTTTAGTGTGTACCTGCACACCAGCACAGTGTGTAAGTATATTTAGGTACAGGTGCATGTAAGTATAATTATCAGAAGACATATAAAATATGCAAAACACTTGAAATTCTGAAAAATTTCCAGACATAATAGAGATATGTGCTCATAGAGAATGTAAACAAACCGGGTGGGGTGCGCCGTATTAGAAAGACCGCTCTTCATACATTAAGTTTTGGTCATAGTTAGAAATCGCTGTATTAGCGGAACAACGTAAAACGGGGCCCTACTGTACTATACGTATATGATTGTGTAAGTTTAAGTAATCTTTCCATCTTTTATATACCTATGACTTGGATGAAAATCTAAGTCAGAGGTATATGAAAGGATTGAAACTATTTTGCTGTTGAATGTACACTTGGTACATTCTGTACTTAAGTTTTTATCATCACTAATTGTCTTTAGATCTTATAGCATTTTGGTTTAGACTGTTGGTAGGGGCGAGTTGCAGTTTCTAAAACGTTTTATGAAAATTTGTATGTTTTAAATTTAAAAGTTTAGCATTTTTAATATAATTGCATTAAAACTGTTTAAAGATAATGAGCAATAGTTATAAATGCACAAAAGTTTGGGCAACATACTAGTTTGTGTGTGAGTTAATTTAGCTCTAGTATCATTGAGGTTAATAGATTTTTTTTGATAGCCAGTACTGTAATAAATAGTAATAGTTTGTATCTTAATATATTAATCTCTTTTTAACAGATACATTTCCATATAGATGACGTTAAAGTACCAGATGTTCCCGGGATGTTTACAACATTCCTTGTCAAAGATCGACCGTTGTTTGTAGATCCAAATATGTTTGAAGACTTGGAACATTATGGACGTCTAATGGGCTACAATAAACCAGTCAATTTTCATTTGGGAGAACCAGAAAAGAAAGAGTGAGAAGTCATTAATTATTACTGATTCTCTTACCAAAAGTTTTTAATATAAATATATTTTGCAGATAAAAGTATATTTGAAATATCAAATTTGCAATAGATCATAATCAACAAATTTGTTGTCAGATATGTTTATGAAGGAAAATGTTAAAAAAAAAAAATTGATTCTTTGAAGTTGCTGGTTAGAAGAACAAGATAAAATTCAGTCATTTTTCTTGAAATTGCTGTAATTCTGCTTTAGTGTGTGGATGAAGGGCAGGTGCTACTGACAAGTGCCAAAAAGAGAGAACATTTAAGGACAAGACTTAAGGTTTGTTGTTAATGGTATATTTCAGTACACTTGTTTAGCTCTTTTCATTTTAATAATAAAGAGATTTTGTCATTTACCTTTAATGGATATACCTAAGTTTATATAATCATGTAGAGTAGGATAATTTTTTATGAAGACATGAATGTATAATCCCTGCTATGTAGGAGTCTTTATAGGAAGTTTTTAGGTCAAAATCTTCAGAAACAAAAATGAATGTAATACAAAAAAAAAAATTGCCAAAATTTCTAAAAGGGCAATAATGATAAGATAATTTTTTAATACTTACACAGAAATTATGTTAAAGTTGTGTCCAGTATATATTACATCAAATCAGGCACAAAATAGTTGCCATGTCTAGAAATTTCAAGAATTTCCAGGCACATTACTTATATATGTAAAGGTAGAAAGTTGAAAGTGAACATAGAAAAGAGTAAGGTGATGAGGGTATTAAATGATTTAGATAAAGAAGAATTGGATATCAAATTGGAGAGGAGGAGTATAGAAGAAGTGAATGTTTTCAGATATTTGGGAGTTGATGTGTCAGCGGATAGATGTATGAAGGATGAAGTTAACCATAGAATTGATGAAGGAAAAAAGGTGAGTGGTGCATTGAGGTATATGTGGAGGCAAAAAATGTTATCTATGGAGGCAAAGAAAGGAATGTATGAAAGTATAGTAGTACCATCACTCTTATATAGGTGTTAAGCTTGGGTTTTAAATGCTACAGCGAGGAGGCGGTGGAGATGTCCTGTCTAGGGGCAGTGTGTGGTGTAAATATTATGCAGAGAATTCGGAGTGTGGAAATTAGGTGTGGAGTTAATAAAAGTATTAGTCAGAGGGCTGAAGAGGGGTTGTTGAGGTGATTTGGTCATTTAGAATGGATCGAGGTAGAGTGACACGGAGAGCATATAAATCTGTAGGGGAAGGAAGGCGGGGTAGGGGTCGTCCTCGAAAAGGTTGGAGGGAGGGGGTAAAGGAGGTTTTGTGGGCAAGGGGCTTGGACTTCCAGCAAGCGTGCGTGAGCGTGTTAGATAGGAGTGAATGGAAACGAATGGTATTTGGTGAAGGGATTCAGGGAAACTGGTTATTTTTATATAGCCGGACTTGAGTACTGGAAATGGGAAGTACAATGCCTGAACTTTAAAGGAAGAGTTTGGGATATTGGCAGTTTGGAGGGATATGTTGTGTATCTTTATATGTATATACTTCTAAACTGTTGTGTTCTGAGCACCTCTGCAAAAACAGTGATTATGTATGAGTGAGGTGAAAGTGTTGAATGATGATGGAAGTATATTTCTTTTTGGGGATTTTCTTTCTTTTTGGGTCACCCTGCTTCGGTGGGAGATGGTCAACTTGTTAAAAAAAAAAAAATGTACAGTATTATAGGAAATCATTTATACTGTTAGAACATTGATTGTAAAAATGTTGTTTGTTTTCAGCATACATCTATTCAAATTTATTCCTTCAACTTCTATCAAACAATTTGCCTAACTTTATTGTCATTTAGTTAACAAGAGATTGTATTTTTTTTTTTTAACATTTTTCATGAAGACATTTTTTTGACAGTTCTGAACCATTAATAAATGTACATAATGTAAAAATAGAAAATATCAGCTATATCAAATGAAACAATAAGACTAATTATGAACATATTTTAAATATTCATCCTCTTAACCATTTTACCACATCATGAACATTGAACACCTAGTCACTTGCCAGTGGTGCATTGCTTGGATCATGATGCATGTCCTGGAAAGGCAGCATGAAAGTGAGTGATGATGAGAATGTTTTCTTAATTTGGGTCACTTTGCCTTTGTAGGAAGTTATATACAGGCAGGCCATACTTATACAGCAGGTTAGGTTCCAGGCTACTGCTGTACAGCAAAAATCGCTGTAAAGTGAATCATATAGGCCTAAATAATACATGTACAGTACACACATTACTTACCTTAAAATATTTTCATCCTTAGCTTATAGTGAGTGGCAAGTACATTTACTGTAGGAAGTCTTGAATAAATGAAGAATGGGTATAATTGAAAACTTTGCATTAGCAAAACACCATAAAGCGAAGTGCTCTAAAGCAGTGGTGTTTCTCTACCACTGAACATAGAGCACACAAAATAAAATTTATACAGACAACTCGGGTATGTTTTGAAGAATTTGATATAGAAATCTGCAGTCTCTCAATATTGCTGGGAGCCAAAGCCAGAGTCAGCAGCTCTCTGCATCTCCCTGACAGTCTGTGCAGCATTTTGTGTATTACATTTTTTCTTTGTATTACTTCTTCAAATACGTTCATCTTTGGTATATATTTATTTTTTGTAGGTGTGGTGAGTTCCTATGTGCTTAATGAAATTTGGTAAAGAAATGTGATTTTAAATTTTTACTGGTTTTGACAGGCCCAGCTAATGTTGCCTCTCACATTTGTCCTTTATTAATATTTTTTTTTTTGGCTTTGGGTTGGTCAACTGCATCTGTCTTTAGGATATATTTCTTTGGTATATGTTAGTTTATTTATATCTTTTTTTGTAATTTGGTAACTAAATGTGAATTTTTTTTACTTGTTAACATGTACTCATTGTGTCAGATGCTAAACTTTGCTACATCCAACTTGGCCCACCAGACCCACCTTAAGAGGCACATAAGTTCCCTTGCTTCTAATAACATGTTTATTTTTCTACTATGATCTACTTTGTCCATAATTACTATTACATTTGCTTTGTTTTGCAAGTTGAAGACTTCATCTTGCGAAACAGACAAAGCAAATGTGATAGTAATTATGCACAAGGCAGATTATAGTGGAAAAATGAACATGTCATTAGAAGACAGGGGTACTTATGTGCCCCTTAACCCTCCCCATACTTGTCTAATGTTTTTAAGTGATGACTATCAGTGTAAGGTAAGATACTGTGGTAATTTTTATCTAGTAGGATATTAAAAATAGTTGTTTGGTAAATTTGGAGGTGTCTGGAATGTAACCCTACTTTTCCCATATGTTCTTCACTTAAAACTATTTTTAATAAGGTGCCCAATTTTAGGAGCATATTCCTGCATTATGAAAAGGTTTACTGCTCCTTGTGGAATGCCATTTGTGACTAATTCTCAGTTTGAATTCACTGAGATTCTGCCACAAGAGTAAAAATTATTCTGAAGAATTGAGACACTTAGGCAACATATGGGAATTTTTATTGAAGAAACGTTTTGCCACAGTGGCTTCATCAGTCCAATACAAAGTAGAAATGCGTAAGGAGAGGAGGAGATTGAGGTAATCAGTCCCTCAGCCTGGAATCGATGTGTTCAGTCCATCACTCTTGTAGAAAGTACAGCATAGGGCCAGAGAGGTGGTTTATATACTGCAGTCAGGCGGGTCGAAGCAGGACGAGGCAGGATCACAGTGGGACCTACTAGTGTAAGTAGGTCGTCGTCCAAATGTTGGACAAGCGTTGAAGAAGTCTTGTCGGTTTTCAAAACCATTCATCACACACAAAAAATTATTCTGCACTAAAGCACTTGAGTGTGCAAGTCTCAGCCAGTGTCTGGGTTCCAATTCCATCTCAGTGCCCTTTGAAAGATAGCATCACTGAAAAGATGCCAATCAGTTTCCCATTTTCTGGAATGCTGTTTGGGGTGACATCTCAACTGTCTTATTTGTGTGCCTCTGCAAAGACAAGTGATTATGTGTGAATGTGTTTCTTTTTTGGGCCAACCTGCCTCAGTGGGGGATGGCCAGCATGTTGAAAAAATCTATACTGTAGTCACAAACACATTATATGGGTCTAAATCAAGACAGGTACAATATACAGTTTTTTTTATTAGATTATTTACATCATGCAATATTTACAAATATAACTTGAGACATTTTTGAGCAACAATGAAAATATTGCTAAAATAATTATTACAGTACTGTCATTTCTTATGTAGTCCTACCTTCCAACATTGCTTTTAAAGTAACATTTAATATCTAAACATATGTAAATTTTAAAAAGCAACATTAGTCAGAACTAGGATACAGGAGAGTTGATTAATATGTAGATATTAACTAGTACTGTAATACTAAGTAGACGTAATACTAAGGAGACGGCCGACTTGTTGAAAAAAGAAAAAAAAAATTAATATACAGTAATTACAAAACTTGGAGTAATAAACCTAGGCACTGGCAAATATTTATTATTTTATGAAAATACTGTATAATTTAGTCCATGGCACTAACAAAATGAATCATTGCTACTGATCAATTAAAAAAAAAATCCTGATAAGCCTGCCTAATGGCATGATGGGATTATGTAATAGTCTACCCCATAAGAATGGTAGATGATTAGTATGGGACATGTGTACAGTATGTACTTGCAAGGCTACCAGTCATGGGGAAGCAGACAGGATCAACAAGTAAATAAGATACTTTTGCAACACTAATGATTCATTAGGAAATGTTTTGCTTCCAGGAGCTTTGTCCACAAAAAAAAATTCCTGGCTAATTTTGACATTACCTTTGCATTTACTAATGTTCCTGCCACACAGGTCGTATCATACCACAAAAAAAAAAAAACATTAACAGGACCTTCTTATTCCTTGCCAGGCCTTTGTGGCTCTAATGGAATTTAATGTCAGTTTCACCTATTTCAAATTTGAAGATACTAGCCACAGGTAATGCTTTTAGATGGCCACAGGCTCAGTGGCATACTGGGAAATACAGTGGACCCCCGGTTAACAATATTTTTTCATTCCAGTAGTATGTTCAGGTGCCAGTACTGACCGAATTTGTTCCCATAAGGAATATTGTGAAGTAGATTAGTCCATTTCAGACCCCAAACATACACATACAAACGCACTTACATAATTGGTCGCATTGGGAGGTGATTGTTAAGCGGGGGTCCACTGTATTTATATTAAACACTTGGAGACTGAGTGAGGTCCTTCATCCCCAATAAAGTGAGGATATTGTGGTATGTGGATGATACATTGGTCATCTGTCCTCGGAATTGCCAAGGACAAATGTGCTGCAGTTCCCCAATGGGATTTGCACATGCCTCTGATTATAAGAGGTGGAAGTAGTTAAACAAATCAGTAATAAAGGCACCACCAAGAATAGGAGCTGAATGAATACTGAATTAATTCAATGTTGATTTATGAAATATGTTATCAATGATTATAGCCATATATGATGAAAGGTTTATAAACTAAAAGAGGAGGCAGTTAGGGAAAGATATAAACAGCTATTGGAGGATAGATGGGCTAATGAGAACATAGGCAATGGGGTCGAAGAGGTATGGGGTAGGTTTAAAAATGTAGTGTTAGAGTGTTCAGCAGAAGTTTGTGGTTACAGGAAAGTGGGTGCGGGAGGGAAGAGGAGCGATTGGTGGAATGATGATGTAAAGAGAGTAGTAAGGGAGAAAAAGTTAGCATATGAGAAGTTTTTACAAAGTAGAAGTGATGCAAGGAGGGAAGAGTATATGGAGAAAAAGAGAGAGGTTAAGAGAGTGGTGAAGCAATGTAAAAAGAGAGCAAATGAGAGAGTGGGCGAGATGTTATCAACAAATTTTGTTGAAAATAAGAAAAAGTTTTGGAGTGAGATTAACAAGTTAAGGAAGCCTAGAGAACAAATGGATTTGTCAGTTAAAAATAGGAGAGGAGAGCTATTAAATGGAGAGTTAGGGGTATTGGGAAGATGGAGGGAATATTTTGAGGAATTGTTAAATGTTGATGAAGATAGGGAAGCTGTGATTTCGTGTATAGGGCAAGGAGGAATAACATCTTGTAGGAGTGAGGAAGAGCCAGTTGTGAGTGTGGGGGAAGTTCGTGAGGCAGTAGGTAAAATGAAAGGGGGTAAGGCAGCCGGGATTGATGGATAAAGATAGAAATGTTAAAAGCAGGTGGGGAATAGTTTTTGGAGTGGTTGGTGCAATTATTTAATAAATGTATGGAAGAGGGTAAGGTACCTAGGGATTGGCAGAGAGCATGCATATTCCTTTGTATAAAGCCAAAGGGGACAAAAGAGAGTGCAAAAATTATAGGGGGATAAGTCTGTTGAGTATACCTGGTAAAGTGTATGGTAGAGTTATTATTGAAAGAATTAAAAGTAAGACTGAGAAATAGGATAGCAGATGAACAGGAGGCTTTAGGAAAGGATAGGGGGTGTGTTGACCAGGTGTTTACAGTGAAACATATAAGTGAACAATATTTAGATAAGGCTAAAGAGGTCTTTGTGGCATTTATGGATATGGAAAAGGCGTATGACAGGGTGGATAGGGGGGCAATGTGGCAGATGTTGCAGGTGTATGGTGTAGGAGGTAGGTTCTGAAAGCAGTGAAGAGTTTTTTACGAGGATAGTGAGGCTCAAGTTAGAGTACATAGGAAAGAGGGAAATTATTTCCCAGTAAAAGTAGGCCTTAGACAAGGATGTGTGATGTCACCATGGTTGTTTAATATATTTATAGATGGGGTTGTAAGAGAAGAAAATGCGAGGGTCTTGACAAGAGGCGTGGAGTTAAAAGATAAAGAATCACACATAAAGTGGGAGTTGTCACAGTTGCTCTTTGCTGATGACACTGTGCTCTTGGGAGATTCTGAAGAGAAGTTGCAGAGATTGGTGGATGAATTTGGTAGGGTGTGCAAAAGAAGAAAATTAAAAGTTGAATACAGGAAAGAGTAAGGTTATGAGGATAACAAAAATATTAGGTGATGAAAGATTGGATATCAGATTGGAGGGAGAGAGTATGGAGGAGGTGAATGTATTCAGATATTTGGGAGTGGACGTGTCAGCGGATGGGTCTATGAAGGATGAGGTGAATCATAGAATTGATGAGGGGAAAAGGGTGAGTGGTGCACTTAGGAGTCTGTGGAGACAAAGAACTTTGTCCTTGGAGGCAAAGAGGGGAATGTATGAGAGTATAGTTTTACCAACACTCTTATATGGGTGTGAAGCATGGGTGATGAATGTTGCAGCGAGGAGAAGGCTGGAGGCAGTGGAGATGTCATGTCTGAGGGCAATGTGTGGTGTGAATATAATGCAGAGAATTCGTAGTTTGGAAGTTAGGAGGAGGTGCGGGATTACCAAAACTGTTGTCCAGAGGGCTGAGGAAGGGTTGTTGAGGTGGTTCGGTCATGTAGAGAGAATGGAGCGAAACAGAATGACTTCAAGAGTGTATCAGTCTGTAGTGGAAGGAAGGCGGGGTAGGGGTCGGCCTAGGAAAGGTTGGAGGGAGGGGGTAAAGGAGGTTTTGTGTGCGAGGGGCTTGGACTTCCAGCAGGCGTGCGTGAGCGTGTTTGATAGGAGTGAATGGAGATGAATGGTTTTTAATACTTGACGTGCTGTTGGAGTGTGAGCAAAGTAACATTTATGAAGGGGTTCAGGGAAACCGGCAGGCCGGACTTGAGTCCTGGAGATGGGAAGTACAGTGCCTGCACTCTGAAGGAGGGGTGTTAATGTTGCAGTTTAAAAACTGTAGTGTAAAGCACCCTTCTGGCAAGACAGTGATGGAGTGAATGATGGTGAAAGTTTTTCTTTTTCGGGCCACCCTGCCTTGGTGGGAATCGGCCAGTGTGATAATAAATAAAAAATAAAAATGATGAAAGGATGGAGGGAAGGGGTAAAAGAGGTTTTGTGTGCAAGGGGCTTGGACTTAATAAAACAGGCATGTGTGAGCATGTTAGGTAGGAGTGAAGGTGAATGGTTTTTTGGACTTCATGAGCTGTTGCAGTGTGAGCTGGGTAATATTTTGTGAAGAGATTCAGGAAAACCAATTAGCCAGACTTGAGTCCTGGGGGTGGGAAAGTACCGCGCATGCACTTTAAAGGATGGGTATGAGATATTTGCTGTTTAGAATGACATCTAAACTCATATCTGCAAGCCTCTGCAAAGACAGTGATAGTGTGAATGATGATGAAAGTGTTTCTTCTTTTTTGGGGGGGATCACCCTGCTTTGGTGGGAGATGGACAGCATGTTAAAAAAAAAAATGATGAGATGCAAGAAGAGCCATCAGAAACAAGAGAAGGTGACAGATGATGCAAGGAAAACCATGTAAAAAATTGGGGGAGGTCGTCTGATGCCAATGAGGGGCTCTTGATCCAAGCAAGTGAACCTGCCCTACCTGTGTGCTGAACCCAATCACCTCCCATTCCCACTGCACTGCACTCCCCATTCTGATAAAAAAAAAATGGCACTAGCGAAAGTATGTGGAGCAATTTGCTGTTGAAATATGTTAGTGATATGTGCACTGCAGCTGTAGGATTTTACAGACATAACTCCCAAGTAATCACTATCTGTACATCTCAATGAAATTCTAGTTATTATCCTCTGTACTGTATTTGTATTTTGGATCCCATTCTTGAGGCACACATAAAATTACGAACTGACAAACTGACAGTAAATTATTGTGATAAAATGGAAATGGACATAAATTATTTAAGTACTTAAAAGGTATGAGTTAGTATCTTATTTCATAAACATAACTTAATTCTTAGAAAGACTCTTGTTCAAAGCTGTTGTTAAGAGCTCTGTGGATAGACACGCTGGGTTCCATGGTGGAATCTATGAATTCCTCTGCTATCTCCCGATCCAGTCCTGTGTATGTTTTCTCAATCTGCTCATCTGTTAGCTCCTTGTTCTTCTTGCCTTTTTTCTTCTCCTTTTTACCAGCTTTGTCTTTGCGTTTCTTACCTTCCTTCTTATGCTTCCGTGCAAGTTGGTGAGGATCCTAAAAAATACAGTAATGCGATGTGTTATTCAGAAATTATTGTACACACTGTGCATGTCGGTGGTGCATCGAGGTATCTGTGGGGACAAAGAACTTATTCATGGAGACAGAAGGAAATGTGTCAGAGTATAGTGGCACCAACACTTATATGGGTTGTGAATGTTGCAGCGAGGAGGAGACTGGAGGCAGTGGAGATGTTGTGTCTAAGGGCAAAGTATGGTGTAAATATGCAGAGAATTCATAGTGTATAAATTAGGTGTGGAATTATTAAAAGAATTATTCAGAGGGCTGAGGAGGAGTTGAGGTGGTTTGGTCATTTAGAGAGGGTAGAGTGCAATAGGATGACTTGGAGGGTGTATAAATCTGTAGTGGAGGCATGGAGGGGTAGGGGTTGTCCTAGGAAGGGATGGAGGGGGTAAAAGAGGTTTTGTGTGCAAAGGGTCTAGACATCTAGCAGGCATGTGTGAGCGTGTTAGATAGGAATGAGTGGAGACTAATGGGTGGTTGCTGTCTACTAACCTACAAGCTGTTGAAGTATGAGCAGGGTAATATTTTGTGAAGGGATTCAGGGAATACTGGTTAGCCAGACTTGAGTCCTGGAGGTGGGAAGTACTGTGCATGTACTTAAGGAGGGGTTTGGAATATTGGCTGTTTGGAGTGACATCAGTTCAGATGTCACTCCAAACAGCCAATATCCCAAACCCCTTCCTTACAGTGCAGGCATTGTGCTTCCCACCTCCCGGACTCAAGTCTGGCTAACTGGTTTCCCTAAATTCCTTCACAAAATATTACCTTGCTCGCACTCCAACAGGTTGTCGGGTCTCAAAAACCATACGTCTCCATTCACTCTTAACATGCTCACACATGCCTGATGCATGTCCAAGCCCCTTGCACATGAAACCTCTTCTACCCCCTCCCTCCATCCTTTCCTAGGATGACCTCTATCCCTTTATTACAGATTTATACACCCTCTAAGTCATCCAAGCCACGTCAACAACCCACTGCATCCAGCCTCCTTGATGCAGCATTTACAACCCATGCTTCATACCCATATAAGTGTTGGTACCATTATACTTTTGTACATTACCTTCGTTGTCTCCATGGATAACGTTCTTTGTCTCCACAGATATCTTGGTGCACTACCCACTTTTTTCCCTTCATTAATTCTATGGTTTACCTTGTTTTTCATATACTCATCCACTGACACATCCACTCCCAAATATATGAATACATACTTCTTTCATACTCCCTCCAATCTGATATCCAGTTTTTTCTTACCTAACTCGTTTGATACCCTCCCCCTCCCCCCATGTACATTAACCTTAGCCCCGTATGACAATGTAACCAAGAAGCCTAGTGGCTGTACCTCAAAACCCTTAGGCAGAGGATCCCCTCAAGGAAGGTTCCTTGATGTTGGTGAGGGGCTCTTGATTTAGGGAATTGGATCTGTGCTCCAGTTCCCCGAATTAAGCCTGAATGCCTTCCACATCCCCCCCCCAGGCGCTGTATACTCCTCCGGGTTTAGCGCTTCCCCCTTGATTATAATAATAATAATTAGGCAGAGGATATGCAATGTGTTTAAGAGATCTAGAATTATAGCTTAACCCCCTTCCCCCAAAAGTGTCCTGGAGTTAGAGATCAACACCCTTAAGAGACCTATGAGCTGGAGCTCAACCCAGTCCAACATTAAAATATGAGAACGATCAGATGAGACTAGGTTTGCTATGTACTGTACATAGTTATATGTACTACATAACACGAGACCATCACATTGGGGGAAAGCTCTAAACCCCCACCGATCATCCACTGCCTATGGGGAATGAATGCATGTAATAGTAATGATACCCAATATTCATTTGCAATGTTTTTTATACAAATTATTGCTGAAATATACAACAGCACATTTTGCACTAATTTATAAGTAATTCGTGTATGTATTGTATATAAAAAGACACTACAATAATTTACTTTATAAAGTACAGTGCAGCGCTGTGTGGCCCTTTCGGGTTTAGCGCCTAACTTGATATAAAATACAATAGTAATTACCTGATCTGGATGGAAGTGAGGCATCATAGGTGTCACCAAGTGAGGGTAATAGAGGGATGGGTGGGCAACATGGGCGGGATAGTGATGTGTGGGCGGGTGCGAGTACTGGTGAACATGTACAGGTGCCTTAGGAGGAATGTGATGTGAAATTTGATGTGGATGGAGATGTGTGTGAAGAGGATGGTGGAGGTGTGGGTATGCAACTTGCATGTGTGCGTGTAAAGACTGCTGACGGTCATGACTGTGTGTAGGTGTGTGTTTGGAACTTGGAGGTACTGAGCTGCCAGCAAGAGGCTGAGAAGAAGGCTTGAGGATGGACTGCACAGCTGATGAGGGAGCCACCTTATTGCCACTACCCTTGATGGAGGAAGATAAGTGAGAGGGAGCAGCAAGAGTCGAGTTGCCTGTATGGTGGTGAACACGATGGTCAGTAGAGGAAGGTAAGGATGATGCAGCCGAGGGATCTGCTGAAGTCTTCCTGGGTGTAGCTGATGAAGAGGAGTCTGAGGATGAGAGTGGCACAAACTGTGACACTGATGACACCATACGAGGTGGACTTGATGACGAACCCTGTAAAGCATGGTATCATTGACATAATATAAAAGTATCAATCAGACATGTATATGAATAATCATTCTGTATGATGTGAGTGTTAGATTCCACATGCTTATTACAATTTTGATATTCATGTAAAGTGCTAAACTCTTAAATACCACATAGCTCTTGTTCAATTATTATTATTATTATAATCAAAAAGAAGCGCTAAGCCACAAGGACTATACAGAGCTCTTGTTCAAACCTTGGAAATTTTTATACGAATCATAGCTGCACATTATGGCATGTATCCAGTTTTTTATAAATACGGTACCAAAGCTATAGTTATCAATGCAATTAAGTATTTCCTAAAATATTGTATTTCCTTAAGGAAATTCATATAACTATTATTCTGATATTCTGAAATGGGTATTCAAAAGAATAATGACGTGCTGTGCATACCATGGGTTTTACATAAAGTTGTAAAACTTAAAAAAATGTTTGGAGGTAAATTATCACATTGATGGAAAGAGCACACTGAACTTAGGGGTAGTACAACGCATGGTGAAATGGAAGGATTCTTGAGATCAAAAACCCCTCAGTAGGTTTTGGAAGTATAGGATTATTATTTGAAATAATTGCCATTAGGAATAATTCTGATTATTTGTTACTGTAAGTAAATCCCTCAAGAGAGGTGCCTTGATGCCACTGAGGGAGTTTTGATCCAAGGAATTGGATTAATCCTTCCCTTGGATTGAAACTTAATGCCTCCCATTCCCCAGGGGGAAGCATTAAACCCCTATATATTTAGTGCTGTCCGTGATTAAAAATAAATATTGTAAGTAATCCGTCCCTGGACACATGCTCAGAGCAATAAACAAACTCAGTTGCTCGGCCAGCTATTCATGGCCTCCCAATATCCTGCAGGGGTATTCCTTTCTCGGACTATTTTTCAGTACTCTCAATTCTACAAACTGCTGGCAACAGTGTTGGTGTGAGTTGCCCATTTTTTTTCTCTCATACCACAATTGGGATTTTTGCCATCATTCCACCGGTATCTACTTCTTAAATTGCATTCTCATGTTAACAAATCGGATACATACGACTCACAGATACCACATGGAACACCAACTGGCACCACTCTGCAAAGGCTGTTGAATTGCAATCTGTCCACGATATTTCAATATATTGTTCTGTCTATTAATGGGCTCACATGATTCACTTCCAACATATACACCACTCTAACACACACACACACACACACAATAAGAATCATTCAGACCCTGTACACACGTGTACTTAGGCCCAACGGGTATGCGGCACCAGTTGGAACCCACACCAAGCCAAGCACGTGAAGAACTAGAGAGTGCAAAGGTTTGCAACAAGGACTATCCCGAGCTAAGGGTAGTTCCTACGAGAGGTAGGGAAATCAACCTGACGACATGGAGACAGGAGAATAGGGGGACATGATAACGAATACAAAATACTGAGAGGATTGAAAGGTGGACAAGACAGGATGTTCCAGAGATTGGACACAGTACAAGGGGGACACAGTGGAAGCTGAAACCACAGATGAATCACAGGATTAGGAAGTATTCTTACACAGATAGTCAGTAAGTGGAATATTTGGAGCGATGTATGAGCAGATCCCATACATAGTTTAAGCAAGGTATGATAAAGCTCACGATCAGGGAGATGTGACCTATGTAGCGATCAGTGAAGAGGCGGGGCCAGAGCTCGGACTCGACCCCGCAACCCCTAGGTGACGACACACCACACACACATGTTGGAAGGAAATGAAGATGTACACAAACCTGATGGAATAACAAACAATGGGATGAGTGGCACGAAGAGTCAAGAGGCATCACCAGACACATAGCAATCAAGAAACCAAATTACTGTATGATAACAGATGCCTCTTCCACGGATACCAGATCTGAGGAAAACAGAAGGAACAGGGGGGGGAAGAGGAAGTGATTACTACAAACACCGATGGAATTTTGATGAGCTGAGAGAGGAGACGCCGAGAAGAAAGTGATTGATAGCGGGAACGCTTCACTCTGAGGTCCCTCAAGTGTAATTGGCTGTGATGTATAACCCACCCAGAACAGCAGAGGCCAAGGCAAGAGTATGACGAGAGCAATGACGCATGGATTGACACATGCGCATTGGCCAGAAACTCAACATGTAGGGCAAAGCTTGATCATGGGCATTTAACCACAAGGATCGAATGGGGAAATTGAGCCCACATGGGGCCAAGATAACATGGAGGGCTAAAATGAGAGGTGGGACAGGAAAACTTCATGTACCAACACGAAGGACACTACAAGAGAGAAGGAAGGATGAACCAGCAAGACTGGACTTAGTTTCACCTTGAGTGTGCAGATATTGAGGACATCACATATGAAAGACCCCCTTGGGCCAGATCATGTGGGTTTTGAGCTTCGAATCCATAGAGCTACAAGTGGAGGGAACAGGAAGCCAGACGAATGAACCAAAATAACAGGAAAGGGACTACACAGGAAGGGAACTTCCTGAATGAGGTTCAGGGGACAAGACTGGGAGGGAAACCATTAAAGAATATGGAAATGTAGTCACAATGTCAAGGAGGTGAGGGGAAAGGTTTTTTACCCAAGGGTAACAGGAAAAAATGAAAAAACCAGGGTGACCCCCTGGTTCACTCAAAGTGCAAGGAGGCAAAAACCAAGTGTCTAGGGAATGAAAAATATAGAAGGCAAAGGACCCCCGGAAAAAAGGAGGCAGTCGTAAACCAGAAACGAATTGCAAAGATAAGAAGGGAGGCCCAACGTCAAATTTAAAACGACATAGCAGCAAAAGCCAAAACGACCCCAGGTGTTATACAGCCCAAGGAAGAAAAAAACCGTCAAAGACCAGGAATCGGTAAGGAAGGAAGGGGGAGAGACAACAAAAATACATGAAGTTGGGAGGGAATCAACAAGAAATTCAAAGAAGTGTTCACGAGGGGACAGAAGGGGCTCCCCAAAGACGGGGGAAGGGGGGGTCACCCCCATGTGGGGCACAGTACACAAAGAGGAAAAGTGAAGAGGCTTCTGATGACAGATCCTCAAAGGCAATGGGGCCAGATAACATCTCTCATGGGTCCTGGGGAGGGACAGAGGCGCTATGGTACCCCAAACAACAAATTCAATACATCATCGAAACAGGGGGAATTTTCCCGAGGCATGGGGGGACAGCAAATGTGGGACCAATCTTTAAAAAGGAGCAACTGAAGCATAAATACAGACCAGTGTCACTGACTGTATAGCATGCAAAATCTGGAAAAGTTTTTCAGGAGAAGAAGGTGGGAAAATCTAAAGGAATTATCTCATCACCAGCAGACAACATGGTTTTAGAGACGGGAAATCCTGTGTCACAAAACCTAGGAGTTCTATGCTGGTGACACAGTAAAAAAAGAGAGAGGGGTGGGTGGATTGCAAATTTTTTAGACTGCAAGAAGGGGTTTTAACAGTACCACACAAGAGATTAGTGCAAAAAAAGGAGGCCAAGCAGGAAAAAATAGGAAGGCATGAAAAGGGTAGGGAAAACTTGTCAGGAAAAAACAGCAGCGAGTAATGGTACGGGCGAGGTGTCAGAGTGGGCACCTGTGACCAGTGGGTCCCCCCAGGGGCAGTCCCAGGACCATGCTTTCGGTATTTTGAACGACTGACGGAAAGGAAAAACTCCGAGGTGTCACTGTTTGCGAGACTGAAGTTTAGAAAGGTTCATTCATCGAAGACCAGGGAGAAATACAAAGGGATCTGGACAGGCTCAGACCCGGTCCAACAACTGGCTCCTGGAGTTCAATCCCACCAAGTGCAAAGTCAGAGATTGGGGAAGGGCAAAGAAACCGCGATGGGGTACAGTCTAGGGGGTAGAGCACAAAAATCACTCAAGGAAAAAGATCTTGGGTGGTATAAACCAGGACATCTCCTAAACGCACATCAACCAAATAATGCTGCAGCATAGGGGGGCCCGGCAAAACCCCAGAACCATTCCGACCTTAATAAGGAAACGTTCAGGGCCCTATAACCATGTACGTTTTGGCCCATTTGGAGTTTCGGGACCCGTTTGGGAAACCCCCACCTAGCCCAAACATGAAAGAAACTAGAGAAATTTCAAAGGGTTTTCAACAAGACTAGTCCAGAGCTAAGAGGTATGTCCCATGAGGGGGGGTTTAAAGGGAAATAACCGACGCACGGAGGACAGGAGAATAGGGGGGGCTGATAACGCTTTCAAAAAACGAGAGGAATTGACAAGGTGGGCAAAGACAGGGTTTCCAAGACTGGGGACAGTAACAAGGGGGGCACAGTTGGGGTTTTAAGCCCCAGAAGAACAAAAGGGTTTAGGAAGTATTTTTTCAGCCACAGAGTAGCAGGGGGAATAGTTTGGGAAACGATGTAGTGGAGTAGATCCTACAAGCTTTAAGCAGAGGGATGATAAACCATGGTTCAGGGGGAGTGCCTATACGACCATGAAAAGGCGGGGCCCGGAGCTTGGCCGACCCCTGCAAAACCCCAACTAGGGGGTACAAATAGGTGAATACACACACACACACCACACAACAACACACACACACACACACACACCACACAGGGGCACAATTGGGAAATTGAAGACTCAAAAACAAAGGGATGTTAGGGAATAATTTTTCCGAGTTGTCAAAGGGTGGAATAGCCGCCCAAATAGTAGTAGAGGGGAGGGGAAACCCTCAAATTTTAAAACGAGGGCATGAAAGCTCGGGAGCAGGGGGGAGGCCCAGACGACCAGTGAAGAGGCGGGCCCGGTGAGTTTCCCCCGACCACTGCAACCACAATTTTGGGGGAGTACAACACACTTCTAATTTACTTCCTCACGAAAGTCCCCCCCCTATAGCAAAACCCCTGATTTTTTAACAGAAATTGACCTATTGCACTTATTACGATTTAAATTTTACACTCGCATTAAACCCTCACTACCCCCTACCCCTCGCTCACCCCACCCATATATATAACAGAGCAAACCTTTGACAACATTTTGTTCAAATGAGTCTTTTTTTTATGTCTTTGACCCAAGGAGAGAGTAACTCCTATTCTTTTTCATTCAAGAGTTCTTCACCGTTCTTGTCTGAAAAAAAAACTACTTGAAAGAAACATCTAATAAAGGCTTACCTTGCTATAAGTGTTTATGTTCCCCGGTATATCTGAGTACTCCCTCATATCAGTCACCTCAAGAGAGGCTCTTTGATGCCAATGAGAGTCAAGCAATTAGACCAGACTTCTCTTGGATTGTATCTGATTGCCTTCCATTTCCCAGGTGGTGTAAAGGTTCTATTGGTTTAGAACTACCTTTGAATATAATAATATTGTATGTGGTGGTACTGCATTATGTCATTTAAATAATTATAAAGAAAATGTTACATTTAAATCGCTTTCATGAAAACAGTTTCACGTCATCGTATATCACTGTTTGAATTTGGTTGTAATTTAATGATGCTCCTCGGTGGAAATGAGACATTATTTTATATTTTATGATATACACAACCTAACTATACTATGGAAGAGAATTTTTTCTTAGGTTAATTGTTATTTTGCGAGATTTTCGGGAAGTTAACACATTTTCACACAAGCAGAACGTCAGAGCAAATCACAGCTAACTTAACGAAGTGTAAGGTTAAGTTAGGTTAGGTTGGTTAGGTTTCTTACCATTTGCACAGCATAATATTATCTTGAATGTAAAACCCAAATACTACTGCACTATTTAAACTATTTTATAGCCAAAATTCGCTGAAGAGGAACAATGAATTATTACTCTGCATTTACACAGCAATGAAAATATAAGTGACAACAGAAAGAGTAAATAGTTTGGAAACTCTCAGGCAAGAGAGAACAATAACTCACCCAGTAACAATCACCACCATTGTTAGACAGAGAAAGTCGCCAGTTTCTAATCCACAAATTGTAGTTTTTACCTCATTATTTCACACGGGATTTCCCTATAATATGTGTAGCTTTACAAAGCTCATGGTCTGTAACAGTCACTTGGATTAATGATTTACAAAAAACTAAATATACAAACACTTCTTTTTCCTTTTGTCCAGGTAGAAATAATGATAATAATATATTTGTAACCAATTATAGGTAGAAAAGGCTGTAAGGTGTAAGAAGAGAAGGGATGGGGACTGGATGAAAAGCGCTGAAGCCTGGCAAGAGTAACATATAGGAGTGAGAGCTGCAAGTAGCCAAGTTCGAGAAGGGATGGGGACTGGGGATGAAGAGCGCTGAAGCCTGGCAAGAGTAGCATATAGGAGTGAGAGCTGCAAGTAGCCAAGTTCGAGAAGGGATGGGACTGGGGATGAAGAGCGCTGAAGCCTGGCAAGAGTAGCATATAGGAGTGAGAGCTGCAAGTAGCCAAGTTCGAGAAGGGATGGGGACTGGGGATGAAGAGCGCTGAAGCCTGGCAAGAGTAACATATAGGAGTGAGAGCTGCAAGTAGCCAAGTTCGAGAAGGGATGGGGACTGGGGATGAAGAGCGCTGAAGCCTGGCAAGAGTAGCATATAGGAGTGAGAGCTGCAAGTAGCCAAGTTCGAGAAGGGATGGGAATGGGGATGAAGAGCGCTGAAGCCTGGCAAGAGTAGCATATAGGAGTGAGAGCTGCAAGTAGCCAAGTTCGAGAAGGGATGGGGACTGGGGATGAAGAGCGCTGAAGCCTGGCAAGAGTAGCATATAGGAGTGAGAGCTGCAAGTAGCCAAGTTCGAGAAGGGATGGGGACTGGGGATGAAGAGCGCTGAAGCCTGGCAAGAGTAACATATAGGAGTGAGAGCTGCAAGTAGCCAAGTTCGAGAAGGGATGGGGACTGGGGATGAAGAGCGCTGAAGCCTGGCAAGAGTAGCATATAGGAGTGAGAGCTGCAAGTAGCCAAGTTCGAGAAGGGATGGGGACTGGGGATGAAGAGCGCTGAAGCCTGGCAAGAGTAGCATATAGGAGTGAGAGCTGCAAGTAGCCAAGTTCGAGAAGGGATGGGGACTGGGGATGAAGAGCGCTGAAGCCTGGCAAGAGTAGCATATAGGAGTGAGAGCTGCAAGTAGCCAAGTTCGAGAAGGGATGGGGACTGGGGATGAAAAGCGCTGAAGCCTGGCAAGAGTAGCATATAGGAGTGAGAGCTGCAAGTAGCCAAGTTCGAGAAGGGATGGGGACTGGGGATGAAGAGCGCTGAAGCCTGGCAAGAGTAGCATATAGGAGTGAGAGCTGCAAGTAGCCAAGTTCGAGAAGGGATGGGGACTGGGGATGAAGAGCGCTGAAGCCTGGCAAGAGTAGCATATAGGAGTGAGAGCTGCAAGTAGCCAAGTTCGAGAAGGGATGGGGACTGGGGATGAAGAGCGCTGAAGCCTGGCAAGTGTAACATATAGGAGTGAGAGCTGCAAGTAGCCAAGTTCAAGGAATGATAGGTAAGACACTGAGTAAGGAAAAGTAGTGAATCTTTAAATAAATACATAATTATTATATATATATATATATTAATATATATATATATATATATATATATATATAATATATTATATATATATATATATATATATATATATATATATATATATATATATATATATAGCTGGAAGGGGATGGGAAATTATGAGTCGTCTCACCGCGGAACTCACGATAGGGAAGATGGTCTTTTGTTGTCCTAGCCAACGGTAGAGTCTCTCCTTGCGGTTGTGTCCCTCTGAGAGACCTTGGGCAGCGTCTTCACCCTTGGTGTAGAGGCCACAGGCCTCCCTGGCGCTGACGGTGATACAAGCCAGGCTCACTATACAGTCAATGACACCCAGGAGCACCAGAGCACCTGACACCAGTACGGCTGGTCGACCAAGTAACACCTCCCCCAGTACTTCTACCTCTTCTTGTGTCTCCTGCAATTAAAAAAAAGGGGGTTTAAGTAGGATAATCAAACAAAAGTTGAATTAATTCCACTAGGTTCTTTCCCTAGAATGTGACTCACAGGAAGTCCGGAACAAGTTCTTAAACGTGCCTTCTTTGAATCGAACCTGATTGCCTCCCATTCCCCAGGCGCTGTATAACCCACTAAGCGTTTATTGCTTCCTGAATATAACTGCACAGTCCATTATATAAGCGCTCGGTATTACCTCTCAAGATGAATGATTAAATGCCTTTCAAAATGAAGGAGTGTGTTGATGCTAATGGTGCTCTTGATCCAAGAATCTGAATTATTCTTTCCTATGGATTAAACCTGGTTGCCTCTAATTCCTAAGGTGTTGTATGAAACCCATGGGTTCAATGCTTCCTGATTATAATAATAATAAAGGTTTGAATAACAAGATTATTTTTTCACAAGACCTTAGATACAGCATCAACAAGTGTGTAAAAATACACAAAAAAGGATCTTGATCCAGGGAATTTGAGCTACTCTGCTCTTTCTTTGATGAAACCAGATAACCTCATTCCCCAGGTGCCATATGATTCTACGGGTTTAGCCCTTTTCGTAAGAAATTATGAGGGTAAATACACACAGGACCCCAATATAAATATGCCACTTTGACTTTTGCTTTATTCTAGGTAATTTGCACATATATTACTATGCAGGACAATTGTAATCGCCCAAAACTTTTGAAACTGTATCTAAATAAACTTACTTATTCGTGTACCTTTAGACCTGCAACGATAATTTGCCAATGTACAACTAAATTTAATTGTAAACATTAACCTCTCCGGATATTCCGTCTACTTTTCTTTGACATGTCCCTAGAAGCTAGAGGATGACCTGAAAGATTGACGTTGAGTACAAATGGAAAACTGGAAAAGATATAAATAAAGTGTTGAAAATATCTAACCGAGAGGACTCGCAGCAACGGATTCGATTTAAAAGGGATATAGGGAAGTACTGGTTTGACACTGATTGGAACTTCCAGGTAGCATCAGTGAAGCGAAAATTTTGGGCAGCTTTAAATATACGTATATATAATGGTTGGATGGGAGCATGAGTGGGTGTGGATGGATGAGTTAGACCTGTTTAGCATGAGTCAACAGGCCTATTACAGTATTCATTTTAATGTTCTTACGCTGGGGTCACTTATGTTGGGAGGATTCCACGGAGTGTACTTGGCTAACTTCTGTCGTCTCCTAAGCACAGTCCACGGACGAAGAGCCTAGACTTCTCCCTGAATTTCCGTAAATATGAGCTTTCTGAACAAAATATATAAAATTCTCAGCAAAATACTGAACTGGAGGAGTTTCTAAAAAAAAAAATGAGATGTGGGTAAATATAAAAAAATATGCAAAATCTGTACAGTTGTTTTACTCTCCGAGGAATTGCAACTGCCCTTTCGTTTCTTCCATCGAATCTGATTGCTTCCCATTCCCAAGCGCTGTATGACCCCCACGGGTTTAGCGCTGACCATGAATATAATAATAATAGCTGAATATCTTTCTCATACATAAAATCTTGCATTTTTTAAATCTTTCATGAAAAATTTAAGAAGAATGATACAATGTATTAAGTACAATACTGTCAACCTCCATTCTTAAATCCGAAACTTTTCCTGTAAAGTGAAAAGTCACCTTTAATGTATTATGATCAAATGAACCTCGCGTGTCTTGGGCATTCCTTGAAGCACTGCTGATGCCATAGTAGAGAAAGCCAAAGTCATAAATGCTAGTGCACCATGGTAACAGTCAAAGTCTTGATAAATGCTAGAGTGCACCATGATAACAATAACAGTGCAAGCTCATCATACTACGTCATGTTCACTGTTAAAGCATGGTGTGCCGGCGTGACCTTATGACCCGCCACGCACAGGTTATACTCAGCAACCTGAGTAATTGTCTCAATTATTGCTGCCAGGTACAGTAACGCCCACCTCGCCACCTTGCTGGGTCACCCTCCGGGGTCAGGAGCTGCAGCTGTTGGGTCACCCTCCTGGGCCAGGAGCTGCAGCTGCTGGGTCACCCTCCTGGGCCAGGAACTGCAGCTGCTGGGTCAACCTCCTGTTACACAACCTAATGCACAGGTTATTACACAAACTAATACACAGGTTACTACACAGTCTTTTTCATGCACAGGTTAAACGTGATTTCAAAATTTTCCCGCATTTGTGTCGCTTTCAACCAACTTGTCCCCTATAAGCCAATTCCTAAATAGTCCAAGGTTTCCGGAAACTGCTTAAGAGGTCCTAAGATTCTAACCAATCCGCAGAATGGTCAGTTTAAAGACTGCAAGACTCCAAAATCTAATATATATCTAGATAAAATTTTTGCTTACTTGAGTTTTTTATATTTAGTGCAGAGGTATCTGCGATCACCCGAGGTCTACAAAAGGTCATGGGTTGACCTTTGACCACACTCCAGGTCGTGCAGATCACAAGTCAGCTCCTAACCACAGCCAACCATGTCGATCACATTCACTTCCTGAACAATAAATTGCTTGTCATCGCCTCGAGACTAAATCGAGCTAGTTAGGTTTATGACTGACTGAAGCTGCCCGAGTTCTAAAGACCGTATTTCCTCAGTACATTAACATCAAGAATACTTCAGTCCCTAAAACAGATTCAACTAAACTCAGTGTATACATATCCTCCTTTGCTTGAAAAGGACTCTCAGTATATCGTCTGTCCCTCTCATCACAGATACACAATGTGGTACCCACTTAACCCACTCGGCCACATCAAGTTTGAGTGTGATGGAATTATACGTACACACACTCGGGTATTAGGTACTCATATACGAACGTTTGTACATATATGGAATATTTTCATCAATCGCCTTCTAGTTTATCTCTGAAATTATATTTAGCAGTGGTGAAGCTTTTTATTTTTATTATTATTATTATTATATTTTGGAGGAAACGCTAAACCCGTAGGGGTCATACAACGCCTGTGGGAATGGGAGGCAATCAAGTTCGATCTAAAGGAAAGGAGAATAGGTTCAATTCCCTGGATTAAGAGCCCTTCACCAGCATCAAGGCACCTCCCATGAGGTAGTAGCCAGCACTGTCGCCATGCACCCTGGTATATTCTGTCAGGCAGACTGAATTTTACTTTCCAAGTCAGTTACTGCTATTCAAGAGGCAACGTCAACTCTTAGAATTCTAAGGTTGCCTTAATTATGTCCCCCTCAGGGTACGTAGTGTTGCCTCAGCTACCACCTCTACTTTCTACTAAATCCTCTTCTTGCAGCTGTGTATCTTGCACCAGAAATGTCAACACGCCTCTCTTCCCTCCACACACACAATGTTCCCAACATTCTTCAGCTAGCTCGCCATGATGAGCGACAGCAGTTTATAATGGACCTGGTGATATTACTGCTGGCAAAGCTATGATTATATTCACGGGGAAACGCTAAACCACTATGGGTCATAGCTCCTGGGGAATTTGGTAATCGGGTTTGATTCAGGAAGGAGAGATCAGCAATAATTCCTTTCAACAAGAGGGCTTCTCCAGCGTCAAGGTACTCCTTCCCCTTGAAGTAGAGGAAGTCTAATAAAAACAGTTTATTTAGATAAAAAAAGGCAGCCATACTTATAAAATTATTATTAAAGTTAGGGGAAACGATAAACCCGCAAGGTCATACTTCATCTAGGAAATGGGAGGCAATTATATCTGATCCGAAAATGGGGAAGACAAGACCAATTCCTTGGATCAAAATTCCCTCACCAGCATCGAAGAACTTCCCTTAAGGGCATAAAATACACACACACACACACACACACACACACACACACACACACACACACACACACACACACACACACACACACACACACACACACAATCACTCAAAATAAAACAGGAATCGCATAAAATCAGTAAAAAAAATAAATTGGTCCCGGAATCTCAGTGGGTACAAAGAACGAGGCTATATCTTTCGTTGACTACAGCTACAACATCATAAACCTTATTTTCAAGCTTCTTCTGGGTACACACACTCAGCAATAAACAGTAATCACTCGGAAACATCCTAGACATAGAGGAAAATATACACGTAATGCAATTATCACACGATAACAAAAATATGGGACCCAACTATGAACAAATGGCAAGAAAGAGCAAGCCTAGTGAGAAATACTGATGCAATATCAAATTACGTCGAGTTTACTGAGTAATGTAATGGTCAGTCACACCTGTTATGGGACGCTGATTTCTCTAATTATTTTACAAACAAAAAAGAAACTAGCTATGGCGAAGTTTGTGAAAGGTGAAGGTTTTCAAACTTAGACGAGCAGTAACCACAGAGTGGCTAATTATCATCAGTACGCAAATGTTCTCTACAGTAGACAGAACACATTAGGAGTGAGTTTGTGAAAGAGAGGGACAACAAGTGAGAGAACAAGAAGCACAAGCAGGAGAATTAAAAGCAGAAGGAACAGAAATAGCAGCGGCATTGAAATGAAACTAGAAAACAGTATGCCAAAATCATCCCACTAAAAAAAAAATACATAGTTATAATAGATGGAACACCAAGAGAATAAATAAGCTTTACTTCTGTAAATAAAAAAAAAGTATTCCCGAATAGTCCAGTCAGGCAGTCACTCTCTTATCTTACATGAAATAAGGCAGACGAGGTGTTTTATGTTCCCACAATACATAACATGATAATGCTTGTCTAGCCTGTGTAAGTTATGCGTTCACAGGCATTCGTGAAGACAACCCAAACAGGCAAGACGCTTTAATGCTCCATTGCTTTTACTCATCCGTTGCTTCCTATAACTTTGGATGTGCAGGGCTCTTGACCTAGAAAACTGAAGCTACCCTCCACTTACTTAAATCAAATCTTATTGCCTCATATTTCTCATTCCCAGGCGCTGTATGACCCTATGGGCTTAGCGATTTCCATAAATACTAGTATGTATATTAAAAATAACAAGGAGCTAGGAATGAGGTGGGATGGTGGATTATTA